CCCCTGTAATGAATATAGTCTAGGAACTATCCCATTGGTTTACTGTGAAAAGAACTCAACTTCATGGCACCCAACAACATACTTGGCATCACATGACCAAGTAATAGATGGAGTATGTTCTGCAAAAGTTAACACAGTATTATTACCATCAGCAAAGAGAACAGATGCTGGGTACCCAAAGTCAACAGTTAAATACTAAAATTGCAGGTAAGGATGATACTCCTTTAGTATTTCTTTTGCATGTGGAGATGTGTTACAGATCACATAGACTTGGCAACAAAGAATTGGTAGTTGTTTATTTAGACTGTTGAACTATCTTCCCCCATAGTTAGGTACTCAAGGATGATTGCAAATAGTAAATACTTGGATTCGGTAGATTTTAGTTTCCAGTATGAGACAGAAAAGAGACAAAGCAGGTCAAAGGAACTCTGGTGGTACAGTAGTTAAGTGCTTGGTTGTTAAAGCAAGAAATTTAAACCCATCGGCCATCCAGCGAGAAAGAAGTAGTAGTAACACTCAGAGAAAACAATGTATAAAGAAAATGATAATTTTTTCACATAAAGAAAACAATGATTCTTAACCCCTATTTGGTCAGATTTATTTACTTTTCCAATTAATGAACATTTTTAAAAACTTGATGGAGTCAATAGACTCATTCCTTAGAAAATTACGTGTACAAACAATTTTCTTCCAAGGGTCAACATTCTACATGAAACCCACCTTAAAGCCCCTGATTGAGACTGACTTTTCAGACCTCATGGCTCCTTAGTAAGAAAACAGCATTTTTTCTTACTTATAAAATAGGAATGCCATTTAGAGGAATTGGCTCATGTTGATTTTTTTTTACTTTTAAGCAGCTGAAATTATGATGATACACAAATACTAAACACTATTTTCACTGTGTTCTTATTTAATTCAGTGTCATAACCTTAAATCGAGACAGATAAACTGTATTCAATTTCTGGTGAGGTTCCAAGGGCAAAAATTAAGTCTTCCAGAGGCTTTTGGATATTGTTTGCTCCCATAATAAGGCAGACAGCTCGCTGCTAATAAGATGTGGCTTGGGAGGTTGCTTTATCAATTTGTTGATCCCTTAGAGAAAAAAAAAAAACCCAACACATTTTCAAAACAAATCCAGGAGTAAGACATACATGAATGCAATTCATTTACTCTGAAAGTGTATTTGTGCACTGTTTATGACAAATAAAAATTTTCTGTAGAAATGGATTATTTGTGCCATGCCATCTCAATAACATAATTTTCAAGAATTAATATATTGATGTTGGTAGAAAGTACATTTGAATTTCTGTCTTTTCTATAAATAATATTATAAATGATTACAAATTTGTGAACATGCTAAAACACTAAATGTAAAGGGTTGCAAGGTAAAATACAGTATGCCTAGTTAAATGAACATTTTTAGAATAATCATAGTTTTTTAAGTTTAAGGATGCCTTTTAAAAATATAAAGTATAAGTAAATCAAGGATTAAATGCACTTTAAAATTACTGGCTATTTATCAGAAATGAAACTTTAACCTGGCATTTTAATTTTAGCATTTTAAACCTGGCATACCAAAATACTTGCAAAATATTGTTTTACACATCTGTAAACAAACACCTGTTTTTGCATATGGTTTTTACAACTGGTATCCTAGGTTTTCAGATGCGTTAAATTGAATACTTAAGAACATATGCAATTAGATTGTCATTGAAGTTGTAATAGAATACTACAAGCTTTTTTCCCCATAAACAGCTTCTACTCAAATCCCTTTTCACTCTGAAGAAACTTTCTGAAGGAAGCTAGACTGAGGCAGATGTTTCTTTATTTCAGCTCCATCTCAAATCAATTCTTTTAGCATTTGAGAAAATGTTGGTAAAAGTTGTATTATTCTGCTTTTAAAGTAACTCACATTTTATATGCAATTTAAATGATTTATCTTTGAAAGAGAAAGTTCTCTAAACAGGCATGCAGACATTAACTTCGTGGATCTAGAATATGAATAATTCATTTCTAAGTAAATGAGAAACTACTCTGCAATGTTACTTATCTATTTGTACATTTATAGTTAAACAGTAATTTGCCATCTATGGCATGTTAGTTGAGTTGTGGTTTTCAACATTACGGACACATTTGTTGCTGTGGTTTTTCAATACCATTTCCTGATGCTTTTTTTCCAATTGTGGTTTTCATAATCATTGTTTGATGGTCATGAAGCTGTGGTTTGGAGCTGCTAGATCCATTTGGACGGGAGAAGTCCTTCCAGGTTTTTGTTGTCTTTATTTTATAGCCTTATTGAGGTGAGCTAGAAAAGAGGGAAAAGCAAACCTCAAATATCACTGGCATTATCCTTTAAAATATTGACGAACACAACATAGAATATAATTTCTCAGTTTAATTCATTCTTAGTGGCTATAATTAATGCACATATGCACACATTTTGATAAACTGATAACTATTTCTAGTTATCTTATCATTTTTCCCTTGAATTGCTTTGACTTCTGCTTTCAGCTTTTAGACTCAATATTTAGCTGAGATTTATTAGTTTCTTCCCCCCTTTTGCTTTGCATATTTAACCATTTCAAATGCCAAAAGAAACATTAACCGTTATGATATTTTAATTCCAATGGGCATTCCTTTTGGGTGACATATAAAGTCAGCCAGTTCTAGAAAAAGATCTCTAAAAATCGTAATGCACAATACCTCTGATTCCAAGCCCACCAATTTAGCTATAATGAGTCGAAAATGAAGGAGGTAAAAAAAAAGAATCTGCAGTTCTCTGCTTAGTCATTGAATAACACAAAAACAATATCCCTGCCTTTCACGGTACAATTTGCCTTCATCTGTTGGTTCTTCAGGGTGGGGGCTTTGCCATTTAGAGAATTTTTCTTTGGGAAGAACCATGTGTTCTTAACAATTGTAAACTGCAATAGTACTACTGGGAATGTAATAAAATTCACATCTAGTCTTCAGTTCTGTAGTAAGATGATCTCGGCCATACCTTCCACAAGTCGACCCCTTTACACTTGCTAGAAGATGTCTTGATGGGATTATAAATGGCTGTGATTACAGTGCCTCCTGTACCCCAAGTGTCCTGCATTATGCTCAGTCAGCATAGGCTCTGTGAGACCCCTAGATCCTTTAGGGTATCATGTATATTGGCGTCCACACTAATCATTGGCATCCACACTAATCAAAGAGTGGGTGCGTGTGGTGTGTATGTATGGGTTGGGGGAACATACGAAAGATTTGATAGCAGAAAGTGTGATTCTTCTGCACCCCCTGGGCATCTGAGTATGCATGCAGTTGAGTTCACATTAGTAAATTCTCATTATATAAAGCAGCGGTTGCACTCGACTCGCATAAAAGAGCTTCCTAGCCCACCCGCGAGAACATATTTACTACTTGGTGTATATAAAACTATTAGAAACTAAGCTAACCTCACACAGCTTTACTGGGCCCAAATAATAGCTATGCAAATCACCTCAGAATCTGTTCTGTTGGCTTGCCATTTCTGACATCTTACACATACAATAATTGAATAAGAATGAAACAAAACTTTGGAAACTAAAGAACCATGAAATAGTTACTGGGTCTTACCTGCTTGGGAAAGAAGGACAAGATCAACTCTTGCCGTGTCCCATGGCAGAAAACGAGAAGCAAGAAAAGGTCACGGCACGGGATGCCACTCCATAACTTCCTTAGACTTCCTAAAAAAGTTACAAGTTTCATTCAAAATAGTTCATTTCCTACCTGGAGGCCAAGTACCAATCACCTAGTTAACCGTTTCCTCCCCCCCGCCCCCATTTTGAGAAAATATCTGTTTGCAAATTGGCAATTTTTACAATCTCCAGTGCGAGGTGAAGACAAGCAACTTCGAGGACGCCGCTCAGCACCAAGTGGGGGGATGGTCCGCGTTCTCCCCGGTCTCCAGGGAACCTCTCTAGCAATGAAATGGTCTCCGGAGGAGAGGACTTAACTCGCCCCCACACACACAGCTGGCATTCATGCTTAGCTGGTCCTCCTGAGAGGACCTTGCCAGTGGCCTAACCTTTCTGCCAAGAAGCAGCAAGGGCGGGGATGGGGGTCCGGGGAGGGGGCGGCAGAACTGGAGGCGCAAAGTTTACGCGAGAGACGGAGACCTCTTTGTGCCTCCCTGGACTGGCGAGGCGTGGACGGGGACAGTTGGGGGTCCCTCCGAGGGGGCTGTTGGGAGAAGTTGCCTGGGCAGGGGGGAGGGGTGCTCTGGCTGCGGCCCAGGGCTGACGCGGTGACAACTGCAGAAGGTGGCCCCCCTCCAAGTCCTTCGCGCGCCGCCCGCCTCCCTCTCTGCGCTCGCGTGCACCCCACCCGGCCGGGGCCGGAGTCCTAGTTTGCATCCGGACTGGCTTTGGATGCAGCCAATCCTCCCTCCGTGATGGACTAGTCTCCCCTCCCCACCGCCCCGG